ATCCATTTAGGAGCTATAGCTGCAGGCAAAGAACTAAAAACTAATAATAAAGCCGTGCTCTGTCGTGCCGAGTGCCGACCCAGTTGTGGGTGTTTTCAGTCTCCCTCTCCCCCTCCCCCTCCCCCTCCCTCTATATCTTTCTCTCTCGGTTATTCTGTTGATTCAATAAAGCCAAAAGCTCATTAGCACTCAAACAACAAGCCACAGAAGCAGAGAAGCAGAAAAGCAGAAGCATATTCCTCTGCCATATTCCTGTTCCTGTTTTTTTTTTTTGTTTTTTTTTTTGTGTTGCAGATTTAATTCAAAAATGTTTACCTTTTATTCGAGTGGGAAATGTGCTGATGCCAAAGCCAGACGCTGGCACCCAGAAGATGTCATTCCGGCATCTCCTGCTGAACGAGTATCCGTGCTCCTTGAAAGTATCTCAGTGCCAGCATCAAATATTTAACCAGTCCATTCATTCATTTATTCAGCCAACGTTTCCATAAGAAATTCTCGTCTGTGTGGAAGGATGTGTCGAAGAAGGATGTGGTATTTGCATTTGATTCCTCTAGTTATTGTTCCTGCTTCTGCCGGGCTCTTGGCCCTGCCCCCACTTGAACTCTCAGGACCACTTGACGCATGTCCCCATCGGGCGGGCATCAGAGGGCGAACCAGAAATTTATCTCGATTCATACATATTTGTGGGCAGCCTTCAACTAATCGAAATCAGATATGGGACAGCCATGGCAGACGCAGTGAATATTATCTCATGGGGCGGGCGTACACAGGGCGTACAGGACCCATCTGGTAAATTGCAGTCTTCAATCTTCAATCAGAAATATTTCGGCAATCGGCAGTCGGCAGTCGGCAATCTGCAATGGAATTGAAATGAAAACCCTGCTCTGCTCTGCTCTGATGTGATGTGATGTGCTGTGCTGTGAGCCAAATGCCACATAGAATTTCAATTACTCGAAATCTGTTTGGCTTCTTTAATGAAAAATAAATATTGGAGTGGGCTCTGCACTACATTCCAGAAATCTTTGACTTAGAAACCCAAAATATTTATTTATTAACTATTAAATATGGTCCCATGCAAACCTGTGCATTCGTATAGAAATTCATCCATTCCCAGTGGCAACATATGGTAATCCCAAGTACTTTAAGCCAGTATGCTGGAGGCTCACTCAAAAGACCTTGACAAGTGGCTGTGCGAGTGTCTCCCGTTGGGTTCCTTCAACTTGCAACTTCCTCAGCCTGACCTGTGCTCCGTGTAACTCATTAAGTTCTTCCCGTTAAAGGGTCCGGTCCGTCTGCTCCTCCTCTGCCCAAAGTCAATTGCTGACCGAAGCAATCAAACGAATCTTCGCCTGCGGCCTTTGGCCTCCACCTCTACCCTTCCTCAGTTTCGCAGTTTCTCAGTGCCGTTCACGCACCTATTTTCTAATTTTGCGTCTGGCAACGGCAAATTCAATTAGTTGCACCTCAGTCTCTGTCTCCGTCTCCGTCTCCGCCTCCGTCCCCGCTCTCCCTGCGCCTCAATCAATTTCCATTTGGCCAGGTAACAATGGAGCAGGCATTTCGGAACAGGGACAAGGACAGGGACAGGGACAGCGACAGGACTCATTATGCTGTCAGCTTAATTATTATTTTGACATTGCCAGATGTACATTTAATTACGTGCAATATCTCCATCGAAACGATTCTCTCTTAAGTCGCGAACCCAAAGGCAGAACGAGTTAAGACCGTACTCGGGGAGTCCCCTACTGAGATTGCCCCTGCCCCTGCTGGGCCTGGGGGGTTTTTCATCAGTTTTCCCTGGGCAGTAGGTTTGGAATTTCCTTTGGTTTATTTTACAACACTTTTGTTTTTCTGCAGTTGTGTTTACTTGGCGGCTTCTTTTGTGTTTATTTCCCTTTGATTTTGTTCCACAGTTTGTTGGAATTCGTTTGCCTTTTCGTCTGGCAGCTGCTTTTTGGCCAAGCCCTTTTACGTTGATATTTATTTTAGATCTCCATGACTCTGGAGCTCAGCCACCGGAAAGCCACAACAGCAGGAACAGTTTTCGTTAGCCGAGAAAAACTTTAAAAACATTTCATTTTATCCACACCAAGAGTGGTACCTCAATTGGAACCCATTTTGAATGGTTTTAAAAGCAAATGCTTAGGAAGAATCTTAGGAAGATTCAGTATTTGAGACAGGATTCTATTAACATTGAACGAATGGGCGAATCCAGTAGGGCGGCTATTGGGTTGTCATGCCGTTTACGGAAAATAGTTACTCTCGGCTCAGAGCTGCTGGGAACAACACTAAAAATAAAATAGTTGGTTGAAAAATAGTTGAAAATCATTTTAGGTACATGTATTTTTATATAGCTCATTCCGATCCCACACTGTACACCCCACACACCCGAAGTGGAGTCTGTTCTGTGGTTGAAATGGAGCGGCGAAAAGAGAAGCAGCATTTGCTGTACTTGCAGCGCCGTCAGCAGCAGGCGGCGGCCAAGGCGAGGAAGGAGATCGAGGCCTCGCTGAAGCGGGAAAAGGAGCGGGAGAAGGCGGAGGAGCGAGCACGCCAAAAGGAAGATCTGATGGGGCGACGGGCGGCCATATTGAAACAGCACAGACTTAAGAAAGCCATCGCTGAAGCCGACCGAGAGGGTATCACCCTGGATCGGCCCGATCTGTGTGTTCAATGTATGCTTGCCAGGCGGGGCAAGAAGGGCTCCAGCTCCAGATCCAGCTCGAATCCAAGCAGCCCGAAACTCTACAGGCAACCAGCGGCCAAATCCAATCGCGGCAATATACTGAATGCCGTCGAATACTGCATCCTTCCGGGCGCCGTCAACAGTAAGACCAAACAGAAAGTGATCGAGAAGATAGCACGCTCCGAGGCGGCACACTTCCTAGTACTGTTCCGCGATGTGGGCTGCCAGTTCCGCGCCCTCTACAGCTACATGCCCGAGTCGGGTGATCGAGTACAGACCAAGCTGTACGGCACCGGACCCAGTCAAGTGGACGGCGCCATGCTCGACAAGTTCTTCAAATACATCTCAGAACGCAAGTGTTTCTCGGAAGTGCACACCAGGCATCTGAACGTCACCATCGACGCCTTCACAATACACGATTCGCTCTGGCAGGCCAAGCGGGTGCAGTTGCCCAGCAAAAAGGACGTGGTCTAAGTGCGCCGGAGCGGAGCGGAGTCCGGGCCAGTGGGCGCTTGGCACTTGGCGCTGTTTGGCTGGAACAAAACTATTTTGCTATTATACGACAGTCCACGCATTCAGACAAACATATATGGAAACATAAAGATTAATAGCTCGAATCAACCATCAACTCTCAAGGGGGGGGACTCATGGCTTGGGATATGGTATAGGCGGTGTTCCTTGAGCAGTCGGAAACTGAATTGCGTTTAGCGGAAAATTTTGAATACGGGTCAAAGTCAATTCGAATTTGCTTCCATCCATTACGCCTCTGATAGTGGGGACTCCAAATCTCGAGTCCATGATTTTCTCCGGGCATGATTGCTTCTGCTTTCCCTTTGCTTTCTTCAGCTATCAATCTTTGTAGTTCTTTGTATGGCATCTTTAATACCAGTATCCCATTCCCTACATTCCCCACTCTTCCATAGGTACGTTCACTCTTTGTTCTGCCCCAAAATATGGTCTTTCATTCAGCTAATATCCTTCCTCTTGAGTAATCTACGAGAAGTGGCATCTTAGACAGCCGATTTGCTTCATTTACAGCACTTCTTCTTGCACGGTTTGCTATACAGCCTGTAAATTAAACATCAAAAGGTTTGACCGCAAAGAAAAACCAAAGAAAAGTTTTTACCTCCACCTCCTGGGTCTGTCCCTGTCCATTCATTTCGACACTCATTTGTGGCTGTTGCTGCTTTTCTGTTGTTTGGCAAATTAACAACATACATCACTGACCTGTAATCCAGACAGGACGTCTATCCGTATCCGTATCCCGTGCCCCCCTTGCCCCGTAGCCATAGCCAACGGCATGTTGTCGGCTCGCGTCCGGCGTTGGCTTTAGGCTGATTTTTTTTTTTAGTCTGACGCTGGGCACATCCGACTCATGCCGCCAATATCCGAAACATGGAGAATGCTAGAATACCCCTCATGGTGGTTTGAGGGTTTATTTGGGGAGCAGTGCAAATGGCAGCCAGGGACTACCCTTAGAGCAATATTTTGTGAATAGAAAAATTGTGCAGAATTTACGTAGGGGAATTTAAAGTGGGAATAAAGCATTGATTCGTCTCTCAAAGTTGATGTCACATTCCCTTCCATCAATCGCATCTACCCCATCTCCTGCGAGGCCTAAGGATATCCCCAGAGCTATGAGGAGGAAAAACAAAAACAAAAACGTTAACAATATGTTAACCGAAGCAGAAATATCACTTAGGAGCAACACGGACATGAACAGCGTCTGACTTTCGTTTCGATTTGTTGTGCAAAATAAACAAAACCCAGCGAACAAGTACAAAAAAACATCCAGCAAATGCGAAAACGACTCTGAGCCTTGGGCGGCAGCTTTGGGGGCTAGGAAAAGGCGGAAAGAATGTGTCAATAATGACTAATGGCCAAGCCGGAAAGTATGGCCCATCAGCCGGGCTGGTCGTTGCTCCCGTTCTGTCGGCTTCGGACGCTCTCGGACGGTCTTGGCTTCTGCCCATTGACAATAGGGGATATCCATTTATTTTTGCATATTTTTCTTTTCCGGCCATGTCAAAATGAGACCTTACCTCACCTCACCTTCATCTTATTTTTTGTTCTTTGTGGAGACTTCATTCGGTGAGATTCTATTCCCTGTTGAAAATTGATTTTAATTTAAAGAATTTAAAGAACAAAAAAATTTAAGGAAGATAAAAACTTTTGCAATAGCTGAGCCTGTCCACTAATAAAATATTATATATATATTGTATTATTTTATATTCAGCTCATACTCGTATACAGATATACAAATGTACATATGTTTATATTATGTAACTGAAAAACACTGCTCTTTTTTTTACAGCATCCGATAGGAGCGTGGCACGTAGACATGCGATCGGGAGGATCCTACCAATGAATGGCATCCGAAAAAGGAACTCAATTTACGTAGGATCATCGCCTCAGATGGAGTCCCGTTGAACCTGGCAATCCCGTGCAATCGCTCCATTGTCCAGAATGTGGTAAGTGTCTTCAAAGACTGCCTCTCCTACCCATCTAACAAATGCTATTCCAATTCAGAGTCAAAACTACTTCGTGTGCGAATGCACAGAGAGCTCTGCAGTCCCGGATGTTTTTTCCGATCACGAGAAGGCGTGGAACGCCTACGCTTGCAAGGAACAGCAAGGATAATGCACTTTTAGCAAAGGGAAATGCTTTATGTTATTATTATGCATACATATATAAGATTATTGTAACACATACTCACATGCCAGAACGTACCTATGAACTTACATAATTAAACATATAAATAGTTACATCATTAAATAATATATTTTAAAAAAACTAAATGAAATAAAGTTCAATTTTATATAAAAATCAGAAAACTGCAAAGTATTTCTTTGGGATAATAAATGGTGCTTGAAATATCCTTATTTCAAACAATCGGGGACATTCTCCCGACTACGAGGAGGCGTGGCGCGCATATATCAGACTATAAAGCGGAGTTATAGCCATTAAACCACAAACTAGAGCCTGTAACTTATTATCCTTGATGACAATCTGGGTTCTAACGATCTGGGATATTCTCGCGATCACAAGAAGTAGTGGCACACCTTCATCGCACGAGGAATAGCGGAGGTACGTACATTGAATGATGATTTTTTGCGAAAATCGAGATGGAAAGGATATCCATTTTTCTGGTGCCAATCGGTTGGCAGGACTCTCCCGGTCACGAAATGACATGCCACGCCTCGATCGGCTGCCGTTTAGCAGAGATATAGATTGCAGAAAATACCAGTATTTTCACGATGTGCAAATCCAACATTTCGGAAGGCTATATCTCAGCTATATAGGGCCAGATCGGCACAGGACTGACTGTCCAAGGATCGCGAGGATCCTGCCTGTCGATCGGCATCAAAATCTGGACTACGAAAATGGGGATGATTTTTGGCAAATTGGATGATGTAACCATCATGATTTTTTGCGAAAATCGTGATGGAATGGATATCCTTTTTTCTGGTGGCAATCGGTTGGCAGGACTCTCCCGGTCACGAAATGACATGCCACGCCTCGATCGGCTGCCGTTTAGCAGAGATAAAGCTTGCAGAAAAAAACCAGTATTTTCATGATGTGCAAATCCAACATTTCGGGAGGCTATATCTCAGCTAAATAGGGCCAGATCGGTGAAGGACCGACTCTCCCAGGATCGCGAGGATCCAGTCTGTCGATCGGCATCAAAATCTCGACTATGAAAATGGGGCTGATTTTTGGCAAATTGGATGATGTAACCATCATGATTTTTTGCGAAAATCGTGATGGAATGGATATCCTTTTTTCTGGTGCCAATCGGTTGGCAGGACTCTCCCGGTCACGAAATGACATGCCACGCCTCGATCGGCTGCCGTTTAGCAGAGATATAGCTTGCAGAAAAAAACCAGTATTTTCACGATGTGCAAATCCAACATTTCGGAAGGCTATATCTCAGCTAAATAGGGCCAGATCGGCACAGGACTGACTGTCCAAGGATCGCGAGGATCCTGCCTGTCGATCGGCATCAAAATCTGGACTACGAAAATGGGGATGATTTTTGGCAAATTGGATGATGTAACCATCATGATTTTTTGCGAAAATCGTGATGGAATGGATATCCTTTTTTCTGGTGCCAATCGGTTGGCAGGACTCTCCCGGTCACGAAATGACATGCCACGCCTCGATCGGCTGCCGTTTAGCAGAGATATAGATTGCAGAAAATACCAGTATTTTCACGATGTGCAAATCCAACATTTCGGAAGGCTATATCTCAGCTATATAGGGCCAGATCGGCACAGGACTGACTGTCCAAGGATCGCGAGGATCCTGCCTGTCGATCGGCATCAAAATCTGGACTACGAAAATGGGGATGATTTTTGGCAAATTGGATTATGTAACCATCATGATTTTTTGCGAAAATCGTGATGGAATGGATATCCTTTTTTCTGGTGGCAATCGGTTGGCAGGACTCTCCCGGTCACGAAATGACATGCCACGCCTCGATCGGCTGCCGTTTAGCAGAGATAAAGCTTGCAGAAAAAAACCAGTATTTTCATGATGTGCAAATCCAACATTTCGGGAGGCTATATCTCAGCTAAATAGGGCCAGATCGGTGAAGGACCGACTCTCCCAGGATCGCGAGGATCCAGTCTGTCGATCGGCATCAAAATCTCGACTATGAAAATGGGGCTGATTTTTGGCAAATTGGATGATGTAACCATCATGATTTTTTGCGAAAATCGTGATGGAATGGATATCCTTTTTTCTGGTGGCAATCGGTTGGCAGGACTCTCCCGGTCACGAAATGACATGCCACGCCTCGATCGGCTGCCGTTTAGCAGAGATATAGCTTGCAGAAAAAAACCAGTATTTTCACGATGTGCAAATCCAACATTTCGGAAGGCTATATCTCAGCTAAATAGGGCCAGATCGGCACAGGACTGACTGTCCAAGGATCGCGAGGATCCTGCCTGTCGATCGGCATCAAAATCTGGACTACGAAAATGGGGATGATTTTTGGCAAATTGGATGATGTAACCATCATGATTTTTTGCGAAAATCGTGATGGAATGGATATCCTTTTTTCTGGTGGCAATCGGTTGGCAGGACTCTCCCGGTCACGAAATGACATGCCACGCCTCGATCGGCTGCCGTTTAGCAGAGATATAGCTTGCAGAAAAAAACCAGTATTTTCACGATGTGCAAATCCAACATTTCGGAAGGCTATATCTCAGCTAAATAGGGCCAGATCGGCACAGGACTAACTGTCCAAGGATCGCGAGGATCCAGTCTGTCGATCGGCATCAAAATCTCGACTATGAAAATGGGGCTGATTTTTGGCAAATTGGATTATGTAACCATCATGATTTTTTGCGAAAATCGTGATGGAATGGATATCCTTTTTTCTGGTGCCAATCGGTTGGCAGGACTCTCCCGGTCACGAAATGACATGCCACGCCTCGATCGGCTGCCGTTTAGCAGAGATATAGCTTGCAGAAAAAAACCAGTATTTTCACGATGTGCAAATCCAACATTTCGGAAGGCTATATCTCAGCTAAATAGGGCCAGATCGGCACAGGACTGACTGTCCAAGGATCGCGAGGATCCTGCCTGTCGATCGGCATCAAAATCTGGACTACGAAAATGGGGATGATTTTTGGCAAATTGGATTATGTAACCATCATGATTTTTTGCGAAAATCGTGATGGAATGGATATCCTTTTTTCTGGTGGCAATCGGTTGGCAGGACTCTCCCGGTCACGAAATGACATGCCACGCCTCGATCGGCTGCCGTTTAGCAGAGATAAAGCTTGCAGAAAAAAACCAGTATTTTCATGATGTGCAAATCCAACATTTCGGGAGGCTATATCTCAGCTAAATAGGGCCAGATCGGTGAAGGACCGACTCTCCCAGGATCGCGAGGATCCAGTCTGTCGATCGGCATCAAAATCTCGACTATGAAAATGGGGCTGATTTTTGGCAAATTGGATGATGTAACCATCATGATTTTTTGCGAAAATCGTGATGGAATGGATATCCTTTTTTCTGGTGGCAATCGGTTGGCAGGACTCTCCCGGTCACGAAATGACATGCCACGCCTCGATCGGCTGCCGTTTAGCAGAGATATAGCTTGCAGAAAAAAACCAGCATTTTCATGATGTGCAAATCCAACATTTCGGGAGGCTATATCTCAGCTAAATAGGGCCAGATCGGTGAAGGACCGACTCTCCCAGGATCGCGAGGATCCAGTCTGTCGATCGGCATCAAAATCTCGACTACGAAAATGGGGCTGATTTTTGGCAAATTGGATTATGTAACCATCATGATTTTTTGCGAAAATCGTGATGGAATGGATATCCTTTTTTCTGGTGGCAATCGGTTGGCAGGACTCTCCCGGTCACGAAATGACATGCCACGCCTCGATCGGCTGCCGTTTAGCAGAGATATAGCTTGCAGAAAAAAACCAGTATTTTCACGATGTGCAAATCCAACATTTCGGAAGGCTATATCTCAGCTAAATAGGGCCAGATCGGCACAGGACTGACTGTCCAAGGATCGCGAGGATCCTGCCTGTCGATCGGCATCAAAATCTGGACTACGAAAATGGGGATGATTTTTGGCAAATTGGATGATGTAACCATCATGATTTTTTGCGAAAATCGTGATGGAATGGATATCCTTTTTTCTGGTGGCAATCGGTTGGCAGGACTCTCCCGGTCACGAAATGACATGCCACGCCTCGATCGGCTGCCGTTTAGCAGAGATATAGCTTGCAGAAAAAAACCAGTATTTTCACGATGTGCAAATCCAACATTTCGGAAGGCTATATCTCAGCTAAATAGGGCCAGATCGGCACAGGACTAACTGTCCAAGGATCGCGAGGATCCAGTCTGTCGATCGGCATCAAAATCTCGACTATGAAAATGGGGCTGATTTTTGGCAAATTGGATGATGTAACCATCATGATTTTTTGCGAAAATCGTGATGGAATGGATATCCTTTTTTCTTGTGCCAATCGGTTGGCAGGACTCTCCCGGTCACGAAATGACATGCCACGCCTCGATCGGCTGCCGTTTAGCAGAGATATAGCTTGCAGAAAAAAACCAGTATTTTCACGATGTGCAAATCCAACATTTCGGAAGGCTATATCTCAGCTAAATAGGGCCAGATCGGTGAAGGACCGACTCTCCCAGGATCGCGAGGATCCAGTCTGTCGATCGGCATCAAAATCTCGACTATGAAAATGGGGCTGATTTTTGGCAAATTGGATGATGTAACCATCATGATTTTTTGCGAAAATCGTGATGGAATGGATATCCTTTTTTCTGGTGGCAATCGGTTGGCAGGACTCTCCCGGTCACGAAATGACATGCCACGCCTCGATCCGCTGCCGTTTAGCAGAGATATAGCTTGCAGAAAAAAACCAGTATTTTCACGATGTGCAAATCCAACATTTCGGAAGGCTATATCTCAGCTAAATAGGGCCAGATCGGCACAGGACTGACTGTCCAAGGATCGCGAGGATCCTGCCTGTCGATCGGCATCAAAATCTCGACTATGAAAATGGGGCTGATTTTTGGCAAAATGGATGATGTAACCATCATGATTTTTTGCGAAAATCGTGATGGAATGGATATCCTTTTTTCTGGTGCCAATCGGTTGGCAGGACTCTCCCGGTCACGAAATGACATGCCACGCCTCGATCGGCTGCCGTTTAGCAGAGATATAGCTTGCAGAAAAAAACCAGTATTTTCACGATGTGCAAATCCAACATTTC